AATACAGATTGCCATCCCCACCCTCAGAGTCTCTGTTTCAGAGACTGGTGGAGTCAAGAATCTGCATTTCCAACAAGTTCCCAGGTGATTCTGACGCCACATGGGGAGTACGGCTACCCTAAGGGGCAGAAAGTGTACTGTGCCCTTGGGCCCTTCACTAATTTATACATACTCCATTACACACTCCTTCTCATGACAGGGAGTAAGACAGTATCTAGCACACAGGTACTAAACCAATGGACGGATGGATAGAAGGATGGGTGGACAGATGAATGTAGTAGACTGAATTCATTTACACAGCTTTTCCATTCAGGTCTAGGACATCAGCAATGCCCACACCCACTCCACCTCCCAGAAAAGGACTTTGAAAACATCATCTTTAGGGACGCCTGGGTGGCTCAGTCGGTTAAGCGTCTGCCTTCGGCTCAGGTCATGATCCCAGGGTCCTGGGATCGAGTCCCACATCGGGCTCCCTGCTCCGCGGGGAGCCTGCTTCTCCCTCTGCCTCTGTCTCTCTCTCTGTCCCTCATGAATAAATAAATAAAATCTTTAAAAAAAAGAAAAAAAAGAAAGAAAACATCATCTTTAGTAGATTCCCACTGTGCATAGAAGATAAAAGGAAATTCAAGAAGAGTTTTGGCATGGTGAGCATGGGTCAAAGAGTTCTGAATTCTAATCCAGTTCTCTCTGCTACCCTGGCCCCACTGGGACTGTTTACCAAGGTGGCATTTCAGAAGTCACAAGAGAATGCTTCTGAGTGGGGTGCCTGGGTGGTTCAGTCGGTTAAGCATCTGACTCCTGATTTCGGCTCAAGTCATGATCTTAGGGTCATGCGATTGAGCCCCACATCGGGCTCCGTGCTCAGTGGGGAGTCTGCTTGAGATTCTCTCCCTCGCCCTCTGCCCCTCCCCCTGCTCACTGGCACTCTCTCTCTAAAATAAACAAATAGGGGCGCCTGCATGGCTCAGTCTTTAAGCGTCTGCCTTAGGCTCAGGTCATGATCCCAGGGTGCTGGGATCAAGTCCCAAGGGCTCCCTGCTCAGCCGGGGGTCTGCTTCTCCCTCTTCCTCTCCCTCTTCCTCTGCCCCTCCCCCCACTCATGCTCGCTCGCTCTCTCTCTCTCAGATAAATAAAATCTTTTAAAAATAAATAAATAAATCTTTACCAAAAAAGAGAGAGAGAATGCTTCTGAGTGGCACCACACAGAGTCCTAACCTGCCCCCAGTCCTCCCTCCTTTTATTCATATACATGTAGTCTATGTGTGTGTGTACCTGTATGGACACGCACACACTTGCACACACACATACATACACATGGTGATTTCATTTGTAGAAAGCAAACAGAGGTGGTCAGAGAAATGCAAGAAGGAAGAAGAATCCAGCCTCACGCAGGGAGGGATGGGAAGGGTGACAGCTTAGGTAGGGAAGACCCCATCAGAGAAGTCCTATCCCCCAAGGTGAATGTCGGAGCTCCAAGCATCCCAGCACTGCCTATAGTTGATGCAGAGAGGCAAGGGCATGAAGGAAAGGGGACGAAGCTACAGAAGAGACAAGAAGTGTATACTCAGGAGAAAATGCGCGGCGAGAAGAGAAACAAAGGCGAGAGAACACGGTGGATTGCTGAGCTGGCGGCCTGGGGCAGCCTGGGGCTGGGGGGCGAGGGGAGGTCAGTGCTGGCTCTGGCACTCCACTCTGCCTGAAAGCAGGCATGAGCATCGGCTTGGCGGGAGACACAGTCGGGGGGTGCGGCGAGGGACAGCAGGTGCACCAAAGTCAAAAGGTTTCTACTGCTGCCGGGGGCGCGAGCGCAGATGCCCATGCCACGGAAAACTCCAGAGCCTATAGGGCTGTTTTTCCCCTAGGCCTGTGTGCGCTCACAAGCAGCTGGGCCACCCTGCAGCTCAGCGAAAGAGGGAAAAGTCAGCGTTCCCACTTTGCTGGCGTCCAGAACTTTTCCTGCGGGATCTGCAGATTAGCCTCTTGGATGAAGCTCTCCTGCCCCCCTCCCCCAGTCCAAAAGCCTTGCCAAGGAAGGATCACAAAGCTGGGACCTTCGATGCCGCAGAGCTGTCGCATTCAATTCACCACACAGCCCCAGTGGCATTTAGGGGCAGGATGGATGGGAGCCCACCCCCACCCCAAGCAGTGGGAGCAGCTAATGACTGGGTATTAATGATGCCGGCAATTAGCGCTCACGAGAAAATGGTTGGGGGGCTGCTCACCAGGGGAATGTGGGAGGGAACAGAGCAGACATTCAGAGCAGCAGACAGATTGGTGGCATGCGTGACGCAGAGAACCTGGGAAGAGCTGCTGTCTCTTAGATCTGTTCCGAGAAATTGGGGAAGAGGGAAGGAATGGCTTCTGTGGCCTCTGGGGCCTTCTTGCCACACCCTCCTTGCTAGCAAAATTGGAGTTAACAATAGAGTTCTCAGAGGCATCGTGAGCAGATGTTTTTTAAAAAGGTGTTTGTGAAGGTTCTGGAACTTTCCTCATGTAAGGAGGCCCCTGATGAACCCAGGGACAGCTATTCTTTTCTATGCAGCTTAAAACCCTTGGGTTTTTGAAGAACTCAGTTTGTCATCAGCAGGGGAGGGGGGAGGGGAGAGGATTCGCAGCCACACTGGGACACATCTCCATCCAGGAGGAGGAGAGACACCGCTTCCTGACTAAGCAAGGCCATTTGGCCTCACGGTGAAGACATGAGGAGACAGAAGACGCTGAATCACGAAAATACATGAGGAGATCCTGGTAGACAGAGGGAAATAGGCCGGTGCGCACCCCGGAAGTCAAGAGCCAGCAGGTGCAGGCATGGGGGAGCCGGGGGGGATGCCTAAGGAAGAGACTTCCTTGATCTGCTTCGGGCCTGCAGCGTACCTTGGGGAGCACGAGGAACCTTCCTCTGCTGTGGCCATCACTGTGTGCACACACAAAAGACACACAGACAGAAGCATTCCAAACCGTATTGCATGAGTAAAGTACCGCACAGCACAAGGACCAAGTGGCTTGACATTTGAGAAGAGATGTAAAGAAGATAAGCCAGGGGCGCCTGAGTGGCTCAGTCGGTTAAGCGACTGCCTTCGGCTCAGATCATGATCCTGGAGTCCCGGGATCGAGTCCCGCATCAGGCTCCCTGCTCGGCAGGGAGTCTGCTTCTCCCTCTGACCCTCCCCCCTCTCATGTGCTCTCTCTCATTCTCTCTCAAATAAATAAATAAAATCTTTAAAAAAAAAAAAAAAGAAGAAGATAAGCCAGCACTGGGGGGAGTGGGAAATAATACCAAGTTAACAAATACTTCAGAGAGAGCAACCGTGGTTAATAAATACTTTCCAGATCGCAATCCAAATCAAAAGAAATCATTCTCGGCCTCCTTTGCCGGAAGAGACAATAGGTACGCCTAGGCCACTGAGATCAGAGAAAGGATAAGAGGAGAAACAGAGAGATGCAAATGCCAGCTGCCCCGTACATTTTCCTTTCTGAAAGACTGGACCAAGGGAACCTCTCCCCAGGGAGGAGAGAGAGAGAGAGCTCGCCATGCCTCAGTAGCTGGCAAGGGGAGGTGGGCTAGCTCTGTCAGACCCTCCTGCCCTGCTTCCCAGGTTCTGTCCCGATGACAACAGCAGGTAAGGAAATAAGTGTCTGTCACTTGAAAGGCTTGAACCCTGCAAGTGAGTAGGAATTAAAGAAGGTATATGGGCTGAGCTGGGTCCCCCCAAAAACGTGTATGTTGAAGCCCCAACCCCGGGCCTCAGAACATGACTCTTCTGGGATAGGGCCTTTAAAGAGGTGATTAAGTTACAGTGGGTCCTAATTCGATCTGACTGGTATCCTTCTAAGAGGAAACTTAGACACACAGAGAGACAGCGGGGGTACGTGATCACAGAGGGAACACCATGCAAAGAGGCAGTGAGACGGCGGACACCTGCAGGTCAACGACAGAGGCCTCTGAGGGAACCGACCCCGATGACACACTGGTCTGGGACTTGCAGCCTCCAGAAGAGCGAGAAAAGTAATTTCTGTTCTTTAAGCCACCCAGTCTGTGGTGTTTTGTTAGGGCGGCCTGAGCACACGAATACAGAAGGCAATGTTACAAGGAGAAAGGAGGGTGGGGTTAGGCAACACTGACCCTAATCCCAAGAAAGGTCTTGGCCAAAGTATGTTAATTATTTCCAATATTTGATGAATAGCCGATGGACATCTGTTGACTAAGTTGATGGACTAAAATGCACAGGAGTCACCCTCAGATCCTAGAGTCTGGATATTTTTAAAGGTCTGATCCCTCTAATTACATTGCATTGCTCCCCTTAAGAACACCTACCACAAAATCTCGTGAACAAAATAAAAAATACATGGCCTGTCCACAATTACTCTTCACCTAATGATCTTAGAATGACCCACATCTTGAAACAGGCTCTAAAGACTCCATCATGCCACCCCATTTTGAGTTTTTGACAAGTGCACCCAGATCATGCTTGCTGATGGGAGTACTCAAGTGAAATGCATGGAAGCTCAAGGGCAGTATTTCTAAGGCAGGAGAGCCCTGAACCAAAATCGTGACCCCTATAATAGCCAAGGCAATAGATCAAGAATATTCTACATCTCTTGGTGGTCAAGGCGACATTTGAAATGTCCATCTGAATTGACATGCCCAAGGGCTATGCCCATGTCAGGTTAGTACCTGTGAATGGAAGTTCTAGAGCTGAGGGAGAAGAGGAACAGGTCTGGCATTTGACAACAGCCAGGTAAGGATGTTTCCCTTCTGCCTTAACGCTCACATCCCTTCCTCTGGGAACAGAACTGGGGATGCCACCTGGCCCACTCACTCTAAGCCTGGGGCTCAGATGACCCACAGGGCAGCTGGGGCTGCGTTAAAAGAGCCAAGTCACCACAGGACGTTGAAACCAATCAATGGGTGCCACCAAAGATGCCAGAGGTGAAAAGAACACTCTATCGCCCTGCCCACCCACTTCATCACTGCCCCAACCCAACAACTGGGAACTCACGTCTGTGGTTCTCATTTCTGTGGTTAGGCGGGGACCGGGTCTCCTGGTCTTGAGCCTCATCTCCCTCCTCGCTGGCCAGGTGAGTGTGAGCGTAGTGGTAGCTAAGTCCTGGCCGGTTCTTGTAGCGCTTGCCGCAGACTAGACAGGAAGAGAAGAGGGGAAAAGGCAAAGATTAGCAACCTCTGCAGTCACTGCCATCATTCTCCCAGGCAGTGCCTCCCATCCATTTACCCCAGAGCTGGGTTTCCCTTAAGAAGTGTCTCCCACCCTCAACAACCTTTGCCCCGCTAGACAGAACTGACACCACTGTAACAACATGGGCCCAGGAAAAGAAAAATCAGAAAAGTAAAGGGTGGAAGTTGAACTGTAAAAGAGCTCCATCATTTCTTCTCTGTGAGACCCTGGGCAAGTCACTTACCCTCTCTGGGCCTTAGTTTCTTCAGAGGGAAAATGGGAATAATGATAGGACTTAACTCATAGAGTTGTTGGGATAAGATGATCTCTATGCAAAACACTTAGAACAGTGCTGGGCACGTGGGAAGGGTGATGATTATTATAACTTTGAGGCCAAAGAGCACTGGTGGTCCATCCAGTCCAACACGCCATGGCACTGATGAGGCAAGTGAGGCCAGCAAGCCTAAGTGATTTGCCTGGGAACACGCAGCCAGTTGAGGCAGAGCCACCAGAACCCAGTCTCCTGGATTCCCATGCAGTGCTCCTTCCACCATACGGTGGTTAACTCTGTATAAAGTACACGGTGATTTTGTGCCAGAAAAACACATCCCACTTCTGCCATGAAAGCCACAAAGCCAAGCCATCGTTGGTAGATGTGGCAACCAAGAGCTTGTGCCCTTGATGCCCCAGGAAGCCTCCGATACCCAAAATCTAGGAATGTGTCCTCATAAGCTCGACCTCTCACATGGACAGTGTGAGATAAGGACACCCAGCAACATAAATATGGCTTCACTGGGCACAGAAGAAAGGGGCAGTTCCATTGGTTGGCTGCCCAGTACCTCAGAAGCAGAAGCCCAGCTAAATGGCTTAAGACTAGACCACCCTCACTTTCAATGAAGTTGGATTTAGTGGTTCACTGTTTAGAATGATACATGTGGCTAATTTTTAGTCTTTATCAAATTTAAGTATTTCCTCTTATCCTTGTGTTAGAGTTTTATTACAGGAAAATCTGATCAGCCTTTCAGCATCTACTGGTATATGACTCTCCGTCAGTTTGTTGATATGGTGAATTATGTTGATTTCCCAATGTTTCTTCTTATTGAGCCATTCTTATATTCCTAGAACGCTCGCCATTTGGCAAGAGTGCATGATCCACTTGATAAACTGCTGTTTTCTATTTTCTAATCTTGCATTTTGGATCTATACTCAGACTTGAGATAGATCTAGAATTTTTGACCTATCTTCTACCGTGTTTGAATTTTATGGTTATGCTGATTCCAAAAATGAATTGAGGTGATTTGCTGTGTGAAACTGGACAAGATACATAGCCTCTCCGTGCCTTTTTCGTATCTAGAAATGATGATAGTACTACTTGCCTTGAAGGGTTCTAGATAATATTTGTAAAGTATCTCACTCAGTACCCAGCACATAACAGATGCTCAGTAAATGGTGGTGAGGGGCGAGGGGCTTCAGCTTAGCCTGCCGCATCTTAAGTGCTGGGCCCTCCTGAAAGGACTTTGAACCTGGCCTCAAACAATGGAATTTAGCAATGGGTAGACTTTCTTAATAAGGTGAGAGTCTGAAATTCAAGTTGGTGACCTAATGACTATAAATTCAAGTCCTACAATTGGCTACTTACACTCTCTCTCTCTGTTGTAAATATTTCAAAAAAATAGAACAGTACTAGACATCTCAATTCCATTTGACTGGGGAAATGGGACCTAAAGAGGCCCCTGAGGCGCACTCTGGGCCTGCTTGTGGCTTCTTCTATTTAACCTTTGCAATGATCTGAGGTCAATAAACAGCAAATTGTGGGGTCATCAGCTATAAATCCACTTAGTAACCAAGCGTACTGTTGGTGAGGGATAAATGTTTATTAAGAATAAGGACAATAATAGTATTTCCATGAGGATGCCTCAGCTGACTCTGGAGACCTCCCTACTGCAAACTCCACAGCATTCCATTGGTGTCATTTTGTTGTGTCAATTATCACTGTCCTTAATACAGAATTTCAGGATCTTAATAGTCATGTGGTCTCACTTATCAAATTGTTTTACTCTCACTAATGCTAGATGCCTAGGACAATTCCACAGATCGGGGAATCACGACCCATCCGAGCAAGCATTTCTTCTTTGATCTCCTTGAATCATAGTTACATCTGCACTGGAGGACTTCTCTCAAGGACAGTTTCATACCAATTTCATCTTAATAACAACAACTCCACCCCCTCTGTTGCCGTGACATACTACACCTTCAAAATATATTCATTGAATAGCTGATGAATGAACATGGAAACACGTTGTGGGAAAGCCAGGAGATAGGGGAGGAGGAAAGCGTGTAAAATCTGATCCATCTATCCACATTAATCTCATACTAATAGGTCTTTAAACCTACAAAACCAAACCCAAGCAAAAAGTTTCCCATATCTCCTTCCCCAACACCATAGAGAGTAATTATTTTTAGAGTAAATCCTTTTGCTAGAAAAGAGATTCTGGAAGAGTAGTCCCCAGACCAGCACCATCAGCATCACCTGGGAAGTTGTTAGAGATGCATATTCTTGGTTCCCCTCAGATCTACTGAATCAGAAACTCTGGGGGTGGGGCCAGAAATCTCTCTTTTAACAAGCCCTCCAGGTGATTCTGCTGCACACTATAGTCTAAGAACCACTCTACTAGAAGAATGAATAGATTTAGGCTTGACTCTGTCCACCCTGGTGCACCTGCCCTTTGGGATGGATGGAAGTGGCAGGTGGGGGCAGTGAGACTTGTGCTCTGTCATTAGAGGAACCAGAGCCAGACAGTACATGGAGGTCATGGAAACCAGACCTCTTACCCATCATCCCTATACACAGACCTACAGAGCTTTCCTGATGGAGCTGCCCTTTTCACCACCTGTTTATACCATGTTATTCTTCATCACCAGGTCTTCACAATAAGCACCTCATATGTGCCCAACCCTGTGGCATCAGAAGGACAAACATAAAGGAGAGCCCTAGTGCCCTCCCTCCAGGAGCTCCCATTCTGGCAGAGAAGACATACAAGTCAACAAGCAAAGAGGGAGATGAGACAAACGCACCAGTGTGCACATGCACCCAGGAAAGAGGAGGGGCCAGCACACCTGCTTGAGTGTGGAGGGGGGGCTTCCTGGAGGAGGTAGGTGAGCTGTGGCTTGCAAGGTAGCAGAACATTACCAGACAGACAAAGGAGGCAAAGGCTTTCAGGCAGCAAAGCACATTCTGCCCAACTTTGGGGACCTGCGGGCTGGGGTGGGATATGATGGAGCTAACAAGCAAGGAAGCCAGGCAGGACTTTGTCCTGGAAATGGGGAGCCAGGGGAGGATTGTAGCCTGAGGACCAACTTACTCAGATTTACATTTTAGAAATCCCATTTAAGACTACAGTGCAGAGGATGGGATTTGAAAGTGGCAAGAGGCTATTTTAATTTTCCATGTGTGAACAATGAGGATTTCAGGATGGGAGAGGGGTTAAAGAGAAGGAATCTGGTGGAAAAGGGTGGGTATAGGCAGCAAGGAGAAGCCTAGAATGACAGTAACTTGGCCTTCCTGGCCACGCACCAACCAGGCCCTGTCTAGGCCCCTAGCCTCACCCAACACCACATTCCACCACCTTCTCTGCCCTTCTGCCCATTGCCTTTTCACTCTGTAAACATCTTTCTTTCTACCACAAAGCCTTTACACAAGCTCTTCCCTTGGCCTACAATGGTCCCCAGCAACAGTTTGCCTAATGAATGCTTCATCATTCTTCAGATGTCAGTTCAAATGTCCTTCCCCAGGGGAGTCTTTCCAGTCAAAATTAGGATCCCAGTTTGTTACCTTCCTAGGACAAATCATGGATCACTACATGTGCCCCCACCGGCAGCAAGCATGGCAGGCCCTGTGTGTTTGCACACTGCTGCATCCCCAGTCACCAGTACAGGGCAGATCATGGCCGGCCCTCGATGTCAGTTAAGGGAAACAACGAAAACACCCACGTTCCTATGGGGCAATAGGTCAAAGGATGAGGAGGAAAACCAGATTTAAAGAAAGAAAAGAATGTTCAGTCTAGGGTTGCCCTGCACACCCTGAGCTTAGGAAAGATATGTGGATGTGGAGGTTGGCAGGGCGGCAGGGGGAGTTAGGGATATGGAGAGAAGGAGAGATTTACAGAGAGAGAGAAAAAAGGTGGACAGAGGATAGAACTCAGAAAACACCAGTATCTCAAGAATCTGGTGAAAAAAGAGAAACTGGTTTGGTTTTTTTAAGTTTATCAAGAAAGACTCATCCAGGAATGAGCAACATAAGCCAAAGAGGTAGGGTTTCCAAGTGTCCATCACTAGATGAATGGATAAAGAAGATGTGGCATATACAGACAACAGAATATCACTCCACCATAAAAAAAGAATGAAATCTTATCATTTGCAACAACATGGATGGATTTAGAGGGTATAATAAATTAAATAAGCCAGTCAGAGAAAGACAAATATCATACGATTTCACTCATATGTCGAATTCAAGAAGCAAAACAGAAAGAACAAATTTAAAAAGAGACCAAAAAAAAAAAAAACAACAACCCGACTCAAATATAGAGAACAAACTGATGGTTACGAGAGGGGAGGTGGGGGGGGGGGGGAATGGAGATCAAGAGTACACTTAACATTATGAGCACCGCATAATATATAGAACTGTTGAATCACTACATTGTACACCTGAAACTAATATTAAAGGTATGTAAATTATACTGGGATGTAAATCATACTGGAATTTTTTTAAAATTTTTTTTAAAAAGAGGCAGGGTTTCCAGCTGACAGGACCAAGGATACCACCAGTCACGGTCACTGAGAACAGCTACTGAGTGTGTACCGAGTGCCAGGCCTGTTCTCATGATCCAGGTCAGTTTGCTCACTGCAACCCAAGTCCCCATTTCACAGATGAGAAGCTGGCAGAGCCAGGAGAATGTCAGATGCCC